TTTTTTTTTTTTTTTTTTCCTTTTTTCCCCCCAAGCCCTCTAGATCTAGGATCCCTCTTGAAAGCTTGTAAGCCAGTCACTTCTTGCCTTTGTTCCCACCCACCTCCCCGCCCCATTTTGGGTAGCCAATGTCCAAGTTGTGCCTTCCATCTTCTTTTGATGCTTTCTGTATCATTTAATATTTTGTCCATAGAAACCTTCAATATTACAAGTCCAGGCTTGAACTTTTTCTTCAGTTCTTTCAGCTGGAGGAATGCTGAGTGTGTTCTTCCCCTTTGGTTTTCTAACACCATGTCTTTGCATATTTAATTATAATACCTGACTTTGTCTTCTTGATCTGACCTTTGAAATTTTCTGTTCAGCTTTTTAACCTCTTCATTTCTTCCATTTGCTTTAGCATCTCTATGCTGTACAGTGAGTTCAGAGTCTCTTCTAGTACCCACTTTGGTCTCTTTCTTCTTTTTTGTCTTCTTAATGACCATTTGCTTTCTTCTTGTGATATGTTCTTGATGTCATCCCACAACTTTTCTGGTCTTTGGTCATGACTGTCTAATGCATCAAATCTGTTCTTGAGATGATCTCTAAATTCAGGTGGGATATGTTCAAGATCAAATTTTCACTGATGTAGATTTGTTTTAATTTTCTTCAGTTTCAGCCTGAACTTGCACAGAAAAGTTGATGATCTGTTCTACAGTTTGTCCCTGTCCTTGTTTTTGCTGATGATATGGAGCTTTTCTACTGCCTCCTCCCACAAATGTAGTCAATTTGATTTCTGTGTATTCCATCTGGTAAAGTTCATGTGTTTTATGTTGTTTAAAAAAGGTATTTGCTCCTTACAGCAAGGATCATTCCCACCCCCTCCATACACAGAGTAGACAGGGATGGTCAACTTGGACATTGGCTACCCAAAGTGGGGGGGCTACAAAGGCAAGAAGTGACTGGCTTACAAGCTTTCAAAAGGGAACCTATATTCAGAGGTCGTGAAGGAAGGTAGAATCTCCACTGAGTAGTATACAATCTGTGTAGGCGGGGCTGCTGAAATGAAATGCGGATGAGTCTCCTGTGATACAATAGCAAATAATTGTTATCATGACTGCTTGTGAGGGTTGAAAATGTAAAGGTAGATGTTTTGTAGCAAGGAGGGGAGTGATTAACCTTTAAGGCTAGGAGCCGAGGTCCCTGGGACCATCAAGGGAGAAGAGCAGAGAGCGGGACCCTACCCAGAGAAGCAGTGATGCCTGAGATGGAGGCAGAGACAATGACGTGGAGAGATGAAGCAGCTGGAGACTTTAGACACAGAGAGGGAGAGGGGCCGTATGCTGACGACAGGGGGACAGGCTTGTAGTGTATACCCTTTGGTTGGTTGATGATACATGGAGGGGATTGAAACCACAGCAATGAAATGATATACGGTAGGATGAATGTAAAACTAATATTCTCCCATGTAAACTATCACATAATTCACAATAAAACATTTAAAAAAGGATTTGTAATGAAGAAGTCACTGTTTTTGAAAAATTCTATCATTTGATCTCCAGCACCGTTTCTATCACCAAGACCAGATTTTCCAACTACTGACCCTTCCTCTTTGTTTCCAACCTTTGCATTCCAGTTGCCAGTAATTATCAATACATCTTGATTGCATGTAGATCAATTTCAGACTGAAAAAGTTGGTAGAATTCTTCAATTTCATCATCACTGGCTTTAGTGGGGTTTTTTTTGCATAAGTTTGAATAATAGTAGTATTAACTGGTCTTCCTTGTAGGTGAATGGATATTATCCTATCACAGACAGCATTATATTTCAAAACAGATCTTGATATGTTCTTTGTGATGATTTTTTTTCCTTTATAAAGGAAAATAAAACTGAGCAAAGTAGTTTTCTTAGCTGTAGACATAGTAGTTATTTTAGACTAATATGATAATTCCTCTTAAATTGTCATAAGTAAACCTTATGACTGTTATCTTCAAAATGGCCAACATCAGTTCATTTCAGCTCACTATCAATCTTTATGCGTTCCATTTAATTTTTGACAACTTCCAATTTTCTTAGATTCATATTTCACACATTCCTTATTTAATTTATTAATGAATGTTTACAGTTGTTTCTCCTCATTTGAGTTGTGCCCCATGAACAAATGAAGGTCCCAAAACTTTACTCCATTTGTGTCATCATAGTCAGTCCACCTACTTTAAGGAGGTAGCTCTTCCCCACTTGTATTTTGAGTGCCTTCCAATGTGAGGGGCTCATCTTCTGGTACTATATCTGACAATATTCCACTCCTATTCACAAGGTTTTCAACGTTAAACATTCTCAAGTAGTCTGCCTCTCCTTCTTCCTAGTCTGTCTTAGTCTGGAAACTCAGCTGAAACCTGTCCACCATGGGTAGATCCTGCTGATATTTAAAATACCGGTATTATAGCTTCCAGCATCAAGATACATGGTGCTCTTTTATTATATTTGCCTCTTCTTCTGAGTCTATAATTTATTTTAAGAATAAAAAGTTTACAAAGAACATATGACAAGGTACCTATTTCAGTAACAATCCAAGAGAAGCCACTTAATTCCTATGTGTGGAAAAAATGATTTAGGTTTATATACAAATACAATCCTTATGGAATCTGAATCTTAACACCCTTGGCTAGAATAGACACAAAGGCAATGGCCATATTCTTCTTGAATAGTCCTTGATTTTGCAATAATGGATAAATAGAATCATAGTTCGAAGCAACTTTTATTTTTTTTAAAATTGCCTAAATTAATGACCAATATTATACTTCTGGTGTGGTGCTGTGTGTTAATGCACTAGACTGCAAGATCAGTTTGAACTATAAGATCAGTGGTTCAAGCTCAACAACTGCTCCTCAGAAACCCTATACAGGGTCGCCATGAGTCAGGACTGATTCCACAACAACTGTGATACCAGTCTAAAATAACTGCTATGTCTGCAGCTAAGAAAATTACTTTGTTCAGTTTTATTTTCCTTTATAAAGGAATTATTATTCAATGTTTACAATATTTTAAAACAGAAATACTATCAGAATACATGACAAGTAAGATACAAGTGAAACCCCTGTTCTTTGTAAAAGGGCCTATATCATTGGAGATTATTGGTATTTGTGTTCTGTATTCTGAAGTGTGAATTATCTAGTGCATCCCAACAGATAAGAGTATAAACTGGGCAATCAAGTAGACTTTCCAATTCCATAAAACATTGCTCACTGGAAGTTTAGATATAAATGGGGAAACAAAGACTGCCATTGCTGATCAAATCTGACTCAGTTTTGCTCATCCTTCTTTAGAACCCTATTAGCTACAATGACTTAAACTCCAAACTGTAAGTTCTATAGAGAGAGTATTAGAGAAGCAAGGTAGAAAATATGTGTAAGATCCATTTTACTGTTAGTCGGCCAATTCTAGTAATTCACCACTTAAACAGGTGAACTTAAAAGTAACTTAAAACTTTTTGAAATAATTATAAGAGTATAATATACTGTAATATGGGTAACATCATTTATTTGACCTATCATTTGTAAAATGAGTGTTGTGTTGTTGTTATGTGCCATGTCGTCAGTCTGAACCTATAGCGACCCTGTATAGGGTTTCCAAGGAGCAGTGCTTGAACGGTCAACCTTACAGTTCAAACTGACTTTGCAGTCAGTGCATTAACCCACAGCACCATACCACGCCTCTTGAAATAGCAAATTAAGTACAAAACACGTGAAGTGATTATATATTTCCAAGACCAATGAAAGACATCCCAGAAACTCAGAGTAAGGATATCTTTTAAAATAAGCATATTTTTAAAGAAACAATATATCAAAACTTCCAACTCACAGTGACCCTGAATAGGGTTTCCAAAGAGTGGCTGGTGAGTTTGAACCACCAACCTTGTGGTTCAAAGCAACCTTGCAGTCCAATACTTTATCTCACAGCACCATATCAGGACTCTGATAAAAATATATGAAACTTTATTTACTGGGAACTTTCCAGTATATAATATCAGATATAAAAAGAATATAAATTCTTTACAAATGCAAAGTAACTTCCATACTAAGCATCAATCACTAAATAAAAATTCACCTATCAGAATTCTATCAATGATTTAATTGTGAAATTCTGATTAAAAAAATTCTTCCCCCAAACTCGATTCATATATCTAATAATCTACCTAATATCTCTAACCTAAACAGAGAGAAAACATTTTTACCTAACTGTTTCTAACTCAACACTTGCAAAAGTTGATCTTCCCTCCCAAATCTACTCCTCTTTCCTGGGGCCCTTCTCAGGTCTTCCTCACCTACTCCCTGAAGCTAGAAAACTGGCATCATCCTGGTGTCCTCCCTCCTTTCCACACAAATCCAGTTCATCCTAAATTCATCCTCCCAGTCTACATCCCTACCTTCATAAATTCATCATAAATTCAGTCTCCCAGTCTACATCCCTGCCTTCACTCATTCATTTAAACACACACAGCAGCTCTTCTTGTAAAATCTGCCTTCATCTTTGTCTCTTTCAAGCTATTCCTCAATAGCTTGATGTATTTTTCTGACAGGCAAATTTAGCTGTATCTCTCACCTGCTTAAAACCCTTCAATGACTCCTCATTTTGTCTAAATCATTGTGACGTTGATTTTGAGTCTATTTCAAATCATGGTAACCCCCTGTGTGCAGAGCAGGCCTTCTCTACAGGGATTTTCAAGGCCCGTCTTCCAAGTGCTTCTGGGCAGGTTCAAATGACCATCCTTTCAGCTAGCAGTCCAATCCTTAACCATCTGTGCAACCTATGAACTACATTGTCTAAATTAGTATTAATCAAAGTGGGAGCCACAAAACAGAGTTCGGTCGATAGGTATCACTATTGGTCACGTAAGTCTGAGAATCACCAAAGTAATCGGAACCTTCAGTATGCTAATGATCACTGGGAACACACAAGAGGAGGATATAGTATGTGATGTTTCCCCAACTTAATTACTGAACTTTCCATCACTAAGAGAGCAGTGGACACCTGACTAGTTTCTGAATTCTGGTGAACAGCTAAATAGCAAAGGAGAGAAACAAGAAGAAGAAAAATAAACTGCATGCAACACCACTTAACAACAGAAGAACTTCAAATTGTCATTGAAATTACAGGATAGAAATCCAGTCATGAAACAAATCTTAGAATATAAGTGATAACAGAAGAGGCATGGAACAGCAGACAGCTTATTCATGGAAGAGAAAGAGTAGTGACCAGAAACATGTAAGAGAAGATAATGGCTTTCTTTTGTTGTGTATTGTCACATGTCATGCATCTCAAAAATTAGGAAAAAAATGTAAGACATACAAAGAGATAAAAGTCAACATCACAAAGGCAGTAACAAATTTTTCATACCTGTGTGGTGATGGCCAACTGCTGGGATCCTGGAGGACCACTCCAAGGGCATAAAGGACAAGGGCCTGCAAAAAAAAAAACCAAAAAAGTGGCTACCTTTAGAAATATTAAACTCTTATGTGTATAAAAAGTTGCTCACTATCTCCAATGATCAAGGAAAAGCAAATTAAAACAACGACATAACAATTTTTCCTAAAACACTCACAAAACATGTATAAGATTCATAAATCCAGAGCAGGTGAAGATTTAGAGGAAAAAGGCATTCTTTTACATTGTTGACAAAAGTAAAATTTGTCTTTTGAAAAGCAACTTAATGTACACATGAACTTTGACCTAAACACTCCTATTTCAAAAACTTTATCTAATACCTGGTTAAAAACCAAAGTCCAACTAAATTTTCATTAATGTGTGACTGCTTAAATAAATTATAGTACATTCATACAGTAGAATACAATCATTAAAAATAACAAGCCATATCTGTATCAACTAACAGTTGTACTAACAGTCATGACAAAGTCATTCGCAAAAATAATATTAGAAACAGTATTATCTTTCTAGGGTGCAACTATTGGTTTTTCTCCATCCAGAGCAAAGGGTCAAGAAAATAAAAAACACAACAACACAATTGGTCCAAAGGATAAATGGATCACATGAACATTAGCCTCAACGACCCCAAGACCAACAGCAGACGGTGTCCAGCAACCACTACCAACCACTCTGAGAAGGATAACATTAGAAGATCCTAGAGAGGGTGGGAGACAATGTGGAACAAAACTCAAAACCACACAAAAGATCAAGCTTTCTGATTGGATAGAGACTGGTGACTATGGAAGTGAACTCACTCTGTGGTTCAATTTTCAGCCAAACACTAGATTGGTGTGGTGCTATGGGTTACTGCGCCAGACTGCAAAGCCGTTTGAACTGCAAAGTCGGCAGTTCAAGCTCATCAGTCACTCCTCAGAAACCCTATACAGGGTTGCTATGGGTCGGAACGGACTCAATGGCACTTAACAACAACAATGGGGTACTGGTGTGGCACTGTGGTCAGTTTGAACCACAAGGTCGGTGGTCCAACTCACCAGTAGTTTCTAGGAAACCCTATACTGAGTCACTGTGAGTCGGAATCAACTTGATAGCACTTAAGAACAACAACAACATAGCAATAACAGTAGAGAAGCATACACGCCAAAACAATCAACCATTGGAGATTAAAAGAGCAGTATTTACCTAAGGACAAAGTTCATAGGCAAGAAGGATTGTAAAGAAAGAAGAGAGAAAGTGGGAAACATAGAGGAAGTGAGCTGAGTCATGCTACATTGTGGGGGTTGCAATCAGTGATGTGAAACAAAATGTTTATGAGTGGTTGAATGGAAAACTGATTTGCTTTGTAAACCACCAAATTCATGATAAAAAAGTTAAACAAAAAACAGTACATAAAGAGTAATCTTTTAGTTTTAAAAATACTTACATACAAGGGGACTTCAAAAAAGTTCATGGAATATTCGATATTTTAATCAATTTTTACCCAAACCTTTTGAAGTCCCCTCACATGTGTATATGCATGTATACACACATACACACACGTATACCAATATACATACTCAGAAAAAGATCCACAAAAATATTTGAAAAGATCTACAAAAATTTCCACTTGAGAGAGGAAATTTTCTCCTATATTAGCTTTTACTTTAAAATAAGCACATGTTACTTTATAAGTTAAAATCATTTTATCTTTGATTTTGTAATATATAACACTGGGTACTTTAAACAATAAAATTTGAAAATACACACTCAAACACTTTAGAAGAACAACTGACTAAATTATATATACCAAATGTTTCTACCTCTCTTGGGATGATAAATTGGTCAATCTTTCCTTCAACGTCTTGAAGCCGGGCAGAAACCGGCGTCAGTTTGGCAGTCCGAACAGTTTCACAAAGCACTTGGCGACAATATCTGTGAAAAAGAAAAATCTTCAAAGATGTCTAATTTAGAAGAGCAACTGTGCAATGTATTCACATTTTTAAAATGTCATTCAATAACTTACGTAGTTGTTGTTTATGTGTTGTTGAGCAGGTTCCAACTTGTAGGAGCAACTGGTGAGCTTGAACCTGCCGACCTTGTGATTCAAACCAACCTTGCAGTCCAGTGCATTAACCTGCAGCGCCACACCAGCACTCCCAGTAACTTATATAACCTTCTTAATTTGAAGTATTTCTATAATTCTTATTTGCTTAAAAGATGTGTTATATATTACCTTGCTGCTCTTATGTTGACTATGACTCACAGTGACCATAGGGTATATAAATTTCAGGTGGAGAAAGGCTTAAACACATAAAAATACTTGTAAAAGTGCCATAAGAAATTCAAAATCATAATTTTAATAATTTTTAGTAGAAAAATCTTGACTTTTGCATGACACAATGACAGAAGCCATAAAGAAAATCACAGCCTGTCTACAGAAACATTTTCTCAAAATTTGTAAATACTGTAATTAAGATCAAAAGACAGGAAAAAAATTTGTTATTTGCTGCTATCAAATCAGTCCCCAGCTCACAGCAAACCAAAGGAAACTCTGTCTGGTCCTATGCCTTCCCCATGATCAGTGGCACACTGGGCCGTGGTGAGCCCCAGAATTTTCACTGGCTTGTTTCTAGAAGTAGAACTCCAGGTCTTTCTTCCTTATCTTAGTCTGGAAGCACCACTGAAACCTGCTTGGCTTCATAACAGCCACAAGTTGTCACTGACAGGCAGGCTGTGGCTACACAGGACCTCTGTACAGGCGCTTCCCACGTAGAAAATTGCAACACTGAACTGCTTACTACAGGAAAAATACTCAATCTAATACATCCATAACGCATAAAAGTTCTTTAAAAATCAGGAGTTAGAATAATAAAATGTCCCAGTAGAACCTCAGACAGAATATAAAAAAGTAATTCTCTAAACAATACAAATGATGATCTGTTACGTAAACCTACACTGAATTTATAATAAAAGTTTTTTTTTAAAAAAGCTTCAAAATACGCAACACTTAACATCATTACCTGTTCAAAAATCACTAATTAAAGCAGCTTATATTTTATAATATTGGCAAAGATAAAAAACAATTACAATAGGCAGTATTAATAAAAGTGTGGGATAAAAAGACTTCATATCTAATTGGGGGAACTAAATGGTACAACCTTTCTGAAGGGTAATATGACAATACATATAAAAATATTAAGTTGTACCACAAGAAAAAAAGTTAAAATATATTGAAATCTTGTAATGAGTCAGTTCTGTTAAGTACTTTATCTGTAGTATCTCATTTAATTTTCACAAAAACACCATGGCTGCTACTTTATTCTAATTTTACAGATATAAAAATTGAGGCAATCATTTGAGATCATATGGCAGGTGGCTGTTGTTTACAGGATTCAAGAATGCATAACCCCTATTCTTTTTTTTTTCATTTTCTGAGGCTTTATTTTGGTTGAGGTAAGGGTCTGGTTACATTAATCTTAGAACATTTTTCAAGTTAAAACTGTTCTGGTGAGACAGCAAGGCTACAGGGAAAAAACTTAGGGATCCGGGTCACCCATCTATTATAGTTTACATTCAAAACATTTTCAAGGCCAGACTGGGTTTCTTCCCTTAAGCAAAAGCTGGAAGACTTCACCACAAATACTCTTGATAGGATTCCAATAGGTGTTAACTCTCGATACTGCATGTTTGTCAGTCCCACAAACCACTTCCAAACCTTACCCTGTTAGAGCTAAAGACCAAGTACATCTGTACTTTTTTTGCACAATTGGGTTTATCTCATGGACATTCTGAATGCATGCAAGAACTTCTTATAAAACAGATCCATCATTGTTGCTTCTTGTTGTTAAGTGCCATACACTTGGCTCCAACCCATAGCAACCCTGTATAGGGCTTCCAAGGAGAGACTGGTGGGTTTGAACTGCTGATCTTATGATTCAAACTGACCTTGCAGTCCTGCGACCAGGACTCCATTGTTGTTAAGTGCCATCAAGTTGCTTTTGACTCACAGCAACCCAGTACAGGGATTACAAGGGGTAGCTGGTGAGTTTGAACCACCAACCTTGAAATTATAAGTTCAGTGTTTATTCTACAGTGCCACACCAGACTCAAAACTGCCCTAGAGAACTGAAAATCAGTGTTGTTATATTCTCTGTTGTCTTTTTCTCTCTTATTTTGCCTAATTTTTCATTTCTATTATTTTGTTGTTGTTGTTAGGTGCCATCGAGTCAGCCCCGACTTATAGCAAGCAACCTTATGCACAGCAGAACAAAACACTGTCCGATCCTGTGCCAACGTCATTACTGTTGCCACACTTGAGTCCATCGATGCTGCCACCTGACCAATCCATCTCGTTGGGGGTCTTCCTCTTTTTCTCTGACCCTCCATCTTACAAAACATGATATGCTTCTCCAGCGACTGTTCCCTCCTGACAATATGTTCAAAGTATGAGAGACGAAGTTTGGTCATCTGGGCCTCTAAGGAGCACTCTGGCTGCACTTCTTCCAAAACAGATCTATTGGTTCTTTTGGCAGCCGATAGCACTTTCAGTATTCTCCTCCAA